TAAGTATAATTTTAGTTCCAAAAGAACACATGTCTCTGAAAGTTGTGAAAGGGAAGAGATCTCAAAACCATATTAGACTACAATACTGGAACCGTAATGAAATCATTGTCGATGAAATTTGTTTGTTGTACTTTAGTAATGAATATGATATGTACAAGTGAGGATCAAGAGTAAAACTCTATTGATGCATGCAAATGATGATGTTATTGGCCAATATAGAAAGAAATCATGAAACTTGCTCAATGAGCATAAAGTTTAAGGACCAGAAGTCCTTGCACCTAAAAAAGGGCAAAACTAGCGGGATACAAACAAATTTTTGTGCTATTGGAAAGTATGAAATTGTGAGAGATATCGCATAATGTTTTGCAATGGGTTTCTCGAAGAGACCTATCATTGTTTAAGAGGAGTTATACTCCCCTGTGGTGGATGCAACTACCTTTTCAAATCAATGTTTGAAAATTGTTGTGATAGCCTATTTGTTTGAATTCCCCGAAGATGTTAAATATATTTGAAACTCCCAGAAGGATTAATTACTCCTAGAAGGATTAATTTACCTGAAGTAAACAAGTAAAGTTCTCGAGAACATATAAGGATAGACTAAGAATATCCCCTGTATGGGTTGAGAAAATATAGACGAATATGAAATACTCATCTAAGTGAACACCTATAACAGTGGGGTGAATGGACCTTAAAAGGTTAAATCCGGATAGAGTGCATTATAGCATTTGCATTGTGCATATATAGTTGTGTTATTTGTATGTGCTTCAAGGATTTTAAAATCTTGGTTTATGAGTTGTGTTTTACTTTAAAGTATGAGTTGTGTTTTATGACTGTGCTTTGACTAGTTCATATGTGTTCTATGATGTGAGTTTTGTTATTATCTTTCGTGATATAAAAGAATTGCTTGCATCAATTTGTGTTAGTTAAGTTTTTACGATCTCATATTATGTTAATGATATGACTATTATTGGATCTCCTGAAGAGCTTCCTAAAGTAGTTGATTGCTTCGAGACATAAGTTAAATTGAAGGATTTAAGATCCTTTTTATGGGCAAGGAGGGTAATGTTGAAAAAGTGGAAAAGTAATTTTGCGTGAACAAATTATGTTCATCAAATAACATTAGGATCCTAAGATCACTAGAAGTGACCAAAGATCCATTTAGGCATCAAGAAAGAAGCGAAACATTATGTCCTGAAGTACTCTATGTTGATGTACTAGGTCCTGAAGTACCATATGTTGATGCATTAGAGCACCAATGCACCTTGCTAGCCAAGCACCATACAAACTATCATTTTGGTGTTGATAATATTAGCAAAATACAATGTTTCCCTCAATGGAACGTTGGAAATACTTTGTTACCTTCAGGAACAATATATGCGATTGTTCTATTATGGTACTATCAAAGAGAGATTTGGTGAACTATATATCCAAATCCTATATATTATTTGATCCTCATATTGGTTGATCAGACATGAGCTATCTCTTACATGTGGTGATGTGATTGTTTCATAGATATCCAAAACAAACTATAATAGGCAAGTCCTGAATGTATTTCGTTACACTTTGTGATTCACCATATCTAAAGGACTTGTGGTTGTAAACTATTTCTAAAGAAAACGATCCTGACGATCATGGTCCATGGATAAAGAAAATCTAAAGATCATGCATAAGATTGACAATCTAGAAGATTGTTCACTAACTAACTCCCGGCAACAATCTTTCTAAAAGTTGTTCGTGAAATTTGAGTTCAACGACTCAATAATCTGAAGTGATGTGGTCATGAGGGGGAGCATATACGCACTGCACTCTTTTTTCCTTACAATGGTTTTTTCCCAATGGGTTTTCCTGGTAAGGTTTTTAATGAGGCAGTATGATATAGCGTAATGCAATCTAGTGGTCATCCAAGGGGGAGTATTATGTAAATATTGATATATGGATGACCAATGACCTACCACATTAGATGCTCACTTGGGAGTTACAAGTAACCCCTATTTCTACATTATTATCTCTCATTCATATGCATTGATATAAGGATGTAGTGGTTACCAAAGTGTGCCTATAAATATAGCACACCATTGTATCAAAAGTGAAGAATGAATAAGAAGAACTCTTCCCCTCTCTTCTCTTGTGTCTTTTCCTCTCTAATCTTTTCTTGTAGTTGTTTATATTTATTTTCATTAGTTTCATAACAGGCGGAATGTTAAATCGAATTGAATTTTTTTAAGCCGGCGGATTAGCAGGGATGTATTTGGTCCCCAAAAATAGAATGCGTGAAAGGGTTGGGTTGATATTAGTAGATTTTTTGTCTCTTAAACTTTGCTTTGATTATTAGGTGGGTTTTAAACTTTTAATTGATTCCTTTCCCTTGCCAGGTGGTTACGCGTTAGGATTAACATGGATTTTTTTCTTTTCGTTTTCAATCTTGCACTAATCCTTTTTTTTCCTTTTCCTATTTTTTCCTATTTTTTATATTGGAGCTTGCAAATGATCAATTTGTTCTAGAGGTGTCAATTGGGCGGGTTGGGTCGGGTTTGAATTGGGTCTAACCGGGTTGGGTTCAATCGGATTGGTTTCAATTTGGATCGGGTTTGAATGGGTTGCAGGTCAATTGTTTTACGAGTCAATCAGGTCACTGGTCAATTGGGTTACGGATCGGATCGGGTCACGGGTGCATCAAATTACGGGTTACTTCGGGTTCGGTCATGTCGGATTATGGGTTATTTGGGTCAACCCATTGGATCATTTACTTCTTGACAAAAAATAATGTGTTACAAACTATCAATATATGAATATAAATTGTAGGTAGAAAATAACAATATGATAATATTTTTCACATACAAATTAAATATTCATTATGTTAGTATAAAAACTAAATATAAATAAAATAGTGTATATAAAAGCGTTGTTGTTGGTTATAATGTTTTTTGTTTATGGTGAGAGATTGTAACTTCACTTATTTTATTAATTTATTAAAAAATTAAATCAGTAAAAATTTGAGAATGAAGTAAAAAAGATAGACTATATGCTTATACATCTCTAAATGAATCGTCTTAATTAAATATAGTATGAACTAGATGTGTGTCTCTTCATTTCCATGAAAACTTATGAATATCATTTCGAATCACCCACTTATATATCTTCACAATTTGTTAAATATTCACGGTAACATCCCATCATAAAACTCATGGGTTGAACAACGGTTCACTCAAATATGATATTATCATCTAGTTCGATCGTCGATTTATTAATTTATAAAAAATAAATAAAATCAGTAAAAATTTGAGAATGAAGTAAAAAGGGTAAACTATCCACTTATATATCTTGATAGGGATAATTGATTTCATTGATGTTGGGGATTTCATTGATTTTCAAGGGTTATTTTTTTAATATAGTTATGGGTGGTGGAGATACAAATTTGTGTCTAACTCTTCCTATTATCTTCAAAAATTTATCCTTTGAATTTCATAAAATAAAAAATGAATGAAAAGATGTACACATATTATTATTTTAAAAATTAAATATTTAAAAAAAACCCTCAATTTATACCATCAATTCTACAAATCATTTCAATTATTATGAAAACAACAGTTCTTTCTTGGTAAATTTTAAAATATAATAATGTTTACATTGAATTTTTGTCAAGCATTCAAGTCAAATGGGTTATTCGGGTTATTCGAGTTGGGTTCGGTTCGGTTACGGATTATTTGGGTTATGAATCATTCGGGTTATAGATGGGTCGGGTTATTGGTTGGATCAGATAACGAGTTCATCGAGTTATGGGTTGATCGGATTACGTGTCAATTGGTTTCGGGTTACGGGCGGGCTTCGGGTGTTTGACTTTTTGTCAAATCGGGTTATAGACGGGTTGTGGGTCGGGTGAGTTGGACGGGTTAGTCGGGTTGGGTTCAATTTTGATAGCTCTAATTTCTTCTTTCTAATTTTGAAATAGTAGTTTCGTTACCATGTTTATTAGTTTCCTTGTTATATTTGGATTGTTATGAGCATTTCTACAATGCTTTACAGTAGTGGTGTTTCAGGTGGAATTTCGCGTGATCGATGCACCCTGACTTAAAGAAAACAGAAAACGGTGTTACTTGGTTCACACCTCTTCAAACAGTGTTCGAACGAGGTGTTCGATGCATACATCAAAGGAACTGGCTACTTTTACCTCTACTCCTATAGAGATTTCTTGAGAGCTCTGCAACTACTGACTACAACTAAACAGAGAAGCCTCGTTGCAGGGTCCCTGGTGCTACTGCTACGGTTACTATTCTAGAGAGAAAATATAAATTTTGACGAGACTTGTTGTGGTTTGATTTTTCTCTCCTCGAGAGTCTTGATGTGGGTTTTGTTGTTCCTCGTCCTCTAACCGCCTTCTCTCTCTCTTCCCGAAAATCAGCTCCACGTAGCATCCAGTAACTCCTCCGAGCGTGCTTTGTAAGTCAGGTGCTGCTTTTGGTAACCACCTCGACCCGTCATCATGTCACTTGACCGTTGGACGGTCATCGTACACAAAAAAAAATTGACGGTATCCATGTTGACTAAGACAACAATCCATTGGATGGTACGCATATTAAATGGTCACCATACCCTAGCATCATCCATTAGGGTTTGGATGGTATCCATTACGTTGGACACTACCATCCATTATGGATTTTGGATGGTATCCATGATGTTGGACACTACCATCCATTATTGGATTTGGATGGTATCCATGCCTGAGCTACCATGAGAAGATCATTTTTCTTCGGCGCTGGGTCCCTGGGATTCGAGCGTTGGAGATCGACAACTCAGCTATTCCGGTTTGGGTCAAGCTATCTGGATTGCCTGCTGAATTGGCGATGAGAGAAGGATTGGGTCGAATTGCAAGTTCTATTGGTAAGCCTCTCTGTATGGATCATTCTACTGCACATAGGGAGAGGGTGGGTACTGTTCGTGTATGTGTGGAAGTTAGTGCTGCTATGTCTAGAATTGAAAAAATCAGTATTGCCCCTGACGACATGCCTGCATTTATCATTGATATTGAGTACTGTGGCCTGCCCCGCTGTTGTGCTACTTGTGGAGTGTTTGGACATGACTGCTCTCTTCCTTCTGCTGGGGTTCCCAATAAACGGGTCTGGCGTCGTAAGCAAGCTAATGTACTTGAATTGGGACAATCTGAGGTAGCTGTTACAGAGAATCTAATGATGGAACAAGTGGAGCAAGATGCTCCTGAGAAGGGAATTGCGCAGGTTTCAGGAGAAGGGGTTGCTATTGATAAAGGCAAACAAGTAATGGAGGACTCTACCCCTCCTGTTACCCTAAGTGCTCTGCCCTCTCAAGAAGAATTCAACAAGGTGATCAATGGTGCTAAACCGAGGTCTAATCTGAAATTGCCCACTCCTGTGTTGCATTTTAATGCATTTGAATTGTTATGTGGCCAAAGAGATATTGTCTTACAAGCCCCTTCAAAGAACGGGGGTAGAGATGGGCTTGGAAGTAAAGGGGGAACCACTAAGGTGGTTGCTTCTCGTAAATGACACTGCTTATATGGAACACAAGGGGCTTTAATGGCCCCTTGAAGCACACTGCAGTGCTTCATTATCTTAGGGTACATAGTGTTTCTATTTTTGCTTTACTTGAAACTAGAGTGCAAAACAAAGAGAGGATTGAGGTGATTCGAGGGAAGTTTGCTGATTATCAATTTGTGGATAATTACTCAAAGCAAAAATTGGGAAGGATCTGGATTGCGTGGAATAATGATGTTAATCTGCAAGTATTAGCTGAGGAAGAGAATTTTATGCATATGGTGGTTTCAATGAAGCAGGGGGCTCAGTTTTTCCTTACAGTAGTTTATGGTTCCAATGATGATAAGGCTAGAGAAGTTACATACAAGCAGTTGAATCAATGGAAGGTACAGGGATTCCCTTGGGTTGTAGGTGGAGATTTCAATGCGATTCTTGACCCTTCAGAAGCCTCAAATGCAGTTACTATTTCGGGAAGTATGCTTGCCTTTCGAGACTAGGTAGCGCAAATGGAACTTGTGGATCATACAGCTTCTGGCCCTTTGTTCACTTGGTTCAATCACCAACAAGGTAATCCTATTGATCGTAAACTAGATAGACTGATGGTCAATGTAGAATGGTTGGAGAAGTTTGCTGAGTGTGTGGTGGAATTTTTAGCTCCTGATTTCTCTGATCACTGTGGAATTTCGACTGTACCTTGTTGTTCTTGAGAAGTCTTACCCGAAGCCATTCAGATTTTTCGATATGTGGTTTGCTCATGCCTCTTTCTCATCTATGCTTGAATCATGTTGGGGGCAAGAGGTGAGGGGAACGGGTTTGTTTGGTGTAAAACAGAAATTATATCTTCTGAAGACAGGCCTAGAGAAGTTGAACAAAGCAGAGTTCTCGAACATTTCCAATAGAGTTAGAGAGAAAAAGATGGAGCTTACAAACAAGCAGATTCAAGCTCTCCAGGTCCCTTCTGAAGGGCTTTTTGAAGAAGTTCATTCCCTGACTTGTGAATATGTGAAGTTGCAAAAAGCAGAGGAGGCTTTCTCCAGGCAAAAATCTTGTATCAACTGGCTTACTCTGGGTGATTCCAACTCGGGGTTTTTCCATAAGACTGCTTGTATTCGTAATGCTAGAAAGAAGATCAGGAAAAGAATATCTCATACAGGGGAGGAGCTGACTGACATGCAGGATATTGCTGGTGAAGCTATTCCCTTCTACAAGGATCTGTTTGGTACTATTAATAAAGATGTGATTGTAGACTGTGACTTTATTAAGGGGTGCTTGTGTGAGAAGCTTACTGATGCAGATAAAAGAATGCTCTATTGCTGGTGAAGCTATTCTCTTCTACAAGGATCTGTTTGGTACTATTAATAAAGATGTGATTGTAGACTGTGACTTTATTAAGGGGTGCTTGTGTGAGAAGCTTACTGATGCAGATAAAAGAATGCTCTGTAGGTTGGTATCTGGGGAGGAAATTAGGCAAGCCCTTTTTGACATGAATCCCACTAAAGCCCAGGACCTAATGGCTGGACAGCAGGGTTCTTTCAGAAAAGTTGGGGGCTTACTGGACCTGATATCATAAAAGGGGTCCAAGCTTTCTTTCAGGAGGGGACTCTCCCTAGAGGTATTAACTCTGCCTCGTTGACTTTGGTTCCAAAGATCCCTAATGCAGATAAGCTACCTTCCTTTAGACCTATTGCTTGTATAAATGTTCTATATAAGATAATTGCGAAAGTCTTAGCAAATAGGTTAAAGAATGTTCTCCCTACTCTTATTAGTAGAAATCAGTCAGCCTTTATTCAGGGGCGTAGCATCTTGGAGAATATATTAATGGCTCAAGAAATTGTTCAAAATTATCACAGAACTCAGCTTTCATCTAGGGCTGCTATTAAAGTTGACCTTAAAAAGGCTTTTGACTCTGTTCATTGGGGTTACCTCCTGTGTGTGATGAAGTTAATGGGATTCCCAGATGAATTTATTAATTGGATATCTCTGTCTTAGTTCATCCACCTTTAGTATCACTGTCAATGGCAGTCTCTTTGGCTTCTTTGGTGCTGTTAAAGGGGTCAGGCAGAGGGATCATCTCTCCCCCTACCTCTTTACTATTTCAATGGAACCTTTGTCGGGATTATTAAATAAAGTAGCAGAAAATGGAGGTTTCCCTTACCACCCTCAATGCAAACAGCTTGGTCTCACTCACTTAAGCTTTGCTGATGATCTATTAATATTTTTAGAGGGGCCAGGTCAGGCATTGCATGGAATTAGGAAAGTCTTTGATACATTTTATCAACTCTCGGGTTTACAATGCAATCCTGACAAATGTGAAGTGTTCTTTGGCGGTTTTGCTCATCAGTTTAAGGCCACTACTCTGCAAATCTCGGGTTTTAGGGAGGGTAAGCTGTCAGTTCGTTACTTGGGATTGCCTTTGATCTCAGGTAAATTGTCAAGTGCTGAGTGTGTTGTCCTTGTTGATAAACTAACCCAAAGGATCAGAGGATGGAGAGCTCAGAAGCTATCTTATGCACGCAAGATCCAGCTAGTGGAGTCAGTTTTATATGCAGTTGTTAATTACTGGATGGCAATATTCATACTTCCCAAGAAAGTGCTTAAGAGTATTCAGAAGATTTGTTCAAACTTCCTGTGGCATGGTGATGGTGTTGGCAGGGCCAAGGTTGCCTAGGAATCAATTGCTTTACCAAAAAAGGAAGGAGGTCTTGGCCTAAAGGACCTAAGCACTTGGAACATTGCTTGTATAGCAAGACTAATCTGGCTACTGCTGATCCAGGGAGGAAGTTTTTGGGTGGCTTGGTGTACCAGATATAGATTAAGGGGAAACTGGATTTGGGAGGTCAGACTCACTACTTCTGTGTCTTGGATCTGGAAGCAGCTGCTCAAAATTAGGTCCTGGTTTCAGTTCAGGATGTGTCTAGAAGCTGATGGAAGTGTTTCTTAGTTGGGGAAAACAATGAAGGTATTTTCCGTATCACTAATCTGGGGCTCAATTAGACTAAAAAGGCTGAGCTGCCTTGGTGGAGGGTGATCTGGGGACGATTCACTTTACCCCGTAATTGTTTTATTGCCTGGCTGATCATATTGGATAGAATTGCTACTCGGGACAAATTGAGATGCTGGGGGGTGGTAACTGATGATTCTTGCCCTCTGTGTCTTGCTGCTGTTGAGTCTCGACAGCATTTATTTTGTGAATGCCCTTTTACCATGGATTTTATTGCAGCACTTCTTAAGAGAGCAGTATCTCTTCCTCAGACATGGGATGATATGTTGAATAGCATGATTGGCAAATCTGTGCAGGGGGTTAGAGCAGCGCTAATTGACTGCTCAGTTTGGAGTTGGTGTTTGTCTTTCATATGGAAGGAAAGATATCGCCGTTGCTTTGGAGAGCAAACCTATTCCCCTGAGGCTCTAGCTGAGATGTTGCGCAGGGAGATCAGTTTGTATGGTTGTGGTAGCGCTGATTTCCAGCAGGAGATCAGTAGGATTTCGACTTATTGTGAGCTGTGTTAGCTAGTCTTTTTCGGGTTTACTCCTTCGCGTTGAGTTGATTTTCTGTAAGGATGTTTTGGGCGTTTCGCCTTTGTATTTTTCGAAGCATTCTACATTTTTGTACAAAGTTTGTGCTTAAATAGAAACTGCTAATCACCGGAAAAAAAAATTAGTTAGTCCCAAACCACCAAAGAATATGGCTTTCATAATACTTTTTTTTCTTTTCTGAAAAGGAACACAAATTCTTTTCCATGTAGGACACATCTTCTTAACCCATATCCTACTAGTAAAAGGAAACTCATTCTCATAAGGAGACAACTAATTTTCTTCTCAATAAATTGATGCTCTCATCCATCATAACTCACAACTCAAAATCTCCACATACCTTCACAAACGAGACAATGCTTTCCAAAGACAACTCCACCGTCCCGTCCCAGGTCACCAACCTGAAGTCTCCAATCCTCTCCTTCAATATATCTCCAATTTGCACCTCCTACGGCTCCCACACATGTGTTTCTGCTCCACACACACGTTGCCATCCATTGCTGATTTGGATAGTGTCTCTTTCCCTGAACAACACCATCCAAAAAAATTGCTTCACCAAACCACTACTACAAACTCGTAAAATCAACAACTCAAGATGATTTCATTCCATTTATAAAGTGGGATGGTAGCCATGTCTCGCTGGCAAAATCCAACTATTCTCCAACATATCACATGCGGCAATGTGCATGTCATCTTGAACCATTTTCAACAACGCTGTTGCTATTTCTTAATAACGTCGCCAAAAATAATTTTTTTTAACATATAACATGGCCTAATTTAGCCACACATTATTTATTTAAATAACAAGCTAGACTTTGGCATAAACCATCATGCCGTACGTTCAACCTATTGCCAACTCCACAAATCAAACCAAACAAACCATCCGTGAAGGCCATGACTCATCCTGGCTAGCTTCACAGATGTTGGTTTTGATGTTTAGGAGTCACTGTTGGCTTGCAAATCTCCGCTTTGTCCATCTCGAACATCTTTGTTCAAAACTCTGCGAGCCTGATATGGCCTCATCTCAGCCTCGTGAAAACCATAAGCGTTCTTGGCTTTAGACAGGATATTCATGTTTTTTTGCAGCTTTGTCTTGCCAAATCGACCATGTGGTATCACTTGCCCACAATGGTTGTTTTTTTATCGACTGCACACTCTCCTGCTTTGAGAAAGTGAGCACCGAGGTTCGCGAGCTCCACCAACACGTGTGTGGGAATTGGTCTTGTCCTCATGTCCACCATTCATGGGAAACTTGTTCCCAGCTAGCACTGGTGTGAAAACTCCATGTCAGGTTTGATCGAGCTTGCCCCCCTGTCCACTTAGTGGAGTCTTTGGGGACCCCTTACATGGAAGATTTATACTGAGTTATGCCAGCTTTCACAACATTGGTTTTTTTCATGGGGTCACCACCTCCATATTGAGGAGAATTTGTGGCAACCCTTGTATGTTTTTTTTTCTAGAACATGTTGGATGTGGCAAACTTCTTTGGAAAGCCCTCGTTCATCTGAAGACAAATCCCTTGTTCGTAAAACTGGTATGTTCAATAATTGCCTAAACAAACCCAAATCATTCGTATTTTCGTTTACCAATTGAAATAATTGAGCAAATCGTCTATCTACGCGGGAATTGAGACAATCAACTTGAGAGTTTACCTGATAAGCCATAGCTTTGGCTTCCTCTATCAACTGGCGAATCTCCGCCATCATTTGGAGGTTCTCCTCCATCATCTGATAAAGAGACACCACTGCCTCGCCTAGATCTGCATTTGGTGCCATGTTTGCCGTCTCTGCTCCAGCATTGTTTCCTCTTGCTTGGTCAACTTCAACGTTAACCAACTGCCCCTCCTCCACAGCACCTTGTGGAGAATCACCATCCCGAATCCTTTGCCGCGGAGCAATATCGAACACACATTGTCTCACCGGGTGTGCCAATTTGTTTCAAGTGGAATTTTGCATGATCAATGCACCCTGTCTTCTAGAAAACAAAAAAAGATGTTACTCGGTTCACACCTCTTCAAACACTGTTCGAACGAGGGTGTTCGATGCATACATCAAAGGAACTGGCTGCTTTTACCTCTAATCCTATGGAGATTCCTAGAGAGTTTTGCAACTAGTGACTACCCTAGTGCTACTTCTACGGTTACTATTCTAGAGAGAAAAGATAAATTTAGACGAGACTTGTTGTGGTTTGATTTTTCTCTCCTCCAGAGTCTTGCTGTGGGTTTTGTTGTGCCTCGTCCTCTAACCGCCTTCTCTCTCTCTCTTCTCGAAAATCAGCTCCATGTAGCATCCAATAACCCCTCCGAGCGTCCTTTGCAAGTCAGGTGCTGCTTCTGGTAACCACCTCGACACGTCATCATGTCACTTGACCATTGGACGGTCACCATACACAAAACAAATTGGACGGTATCCATGTTGACTAAGACAACAATCCATGGATGGTACGCAGATTATTTGGTCACCATTATAGGTGTCAATCGGGCAGGTTCGAGCTGGGTTCAATCGGGTTCAGATTCAAATGGGTTGCGGGTTAGTTGAGTTGCGAGTTCATCGGGTTCGGGTTCAAACGGGTTGCGGGTTAGTCGGGTTGTGGGTTCATCGGATTTGGGTTCAATCGGGTTGCGGGCAAATCGGGCTGTGGGTTCATCGGGTTTTGGGTCAGGCGGGTTGCGGGCGGATCGGGTTTCGGGTTGTCGGGCCAACACATCATCCATTAGGGTTTGGACAGTATCCATTACGTTGGACACAACCATCCATTATGGATTTTGGATCCATTATTGGATTTGGATGGTATCCATGCATGAGCTACCATCCAACAACCCTACAGCTAGACTTGATAAATCGGACCACCCATGTACAGATGGACCAACTACCCTAATTGGCCAAGCTTTTCATACAAGTAATAATTAATGAAAATTATTTTGGTGTAAACAAGTGGTGATTCGATATACAAATTTAAATTGTATAAGAACCTTAAAAGTACAAGTTTAGGTTGTACTTTAAGGAAATTTGTACTTTTATATTATGTTACAACTTCAATTTGTGGCATAACATAAAGGTACTAATTCAGTTTATATCATAAATGAATTTATAAAAAATAGTATATGTGCAACCTGAAGCTGTACCATAACATTAAATGTACAACTTCAATTTGTATCGTAAAGGCAAAAAACTATAGCACCAATATTTTAAAACATTGTGAAATTCCTCATTTATAAATATGTTAGTTTGATTTTGCTAAACATCATATTCAACTGTACAAAAAAAAATAATACTAGGAGGGAGAGGCTCAACAATAAGAAGAACTACCGTAAGACAATCAAGATTCATTGTGCTCTTCCAAATGACATTCGTCATGATATATTTAAATAAATTGAGACTTTTATTACCCGTTCATATCATGTGGTACTTCTTGGTATGTAAATACGATTGTACTATATATAGTATAAAAGTTTACCATGGAGTTATGAATAATGTCGTATTGTCGAATGGTTGCGTACATTATAGTAGAAAAAACATCTAAAAACAAAAACATTGTTTCAAATTCATAAAGCATCCAATCCTCAATAAATCGTGAAATCTTAAGATAAAAAACCCCTCAGTTTTAAATCCACATAGCAAACGAGCCTTGATGCTTTAATGGCAACAGGAATGGACCATAGGAGATAACTAACTTGAAAATACACTGAACCATATCAATTGAGAGGAATTTTACAATGCTTTAAAGTATTGATGCTTTAATTTTTGCTTTTATGATACAACTTGAAGTTGTACTTATGGTACAACCACAGGTTTTACCTTTACATTTTGCATAAATCCTTTTATGGTACAAACTAAAGTTGTACCTTTATGTTATAGTACAACTTCAATTTGTACATTTGATGTTATGTTACAATTTCAAGTTATATTTTAAAGTATCAATTCTTTAAAACATAATAGAAGTGGGCATCAACTGATTTATGAATGCACAATCAGTACAGTACAATAGATGTTTACATTGACACCTGTACATCACTAGCATCAGGCCCGGCCCGTTGGCCGGTGGAATTTGATGATGCTGAATTAACATTCACGTATAGAACCAAGAAATGAATAAACTACCTGGGAAGGAAGCAACTCAGTTCCCATAGGTTCCAGCAGCAGAATCCCTGGAATTGCAAAATGATGTTCTCCAAAAGTTGTAGTTTAGATTACCTGCTGCTAAGGAAAATAGAAAACCTAGGTAGTTTTGCCAAATACATGGATAATGAACTACTAATGTAATGAACATGAGGACAATATTATTCCCCATTCAAATTCATATTGTCTTTGGAAACTGACAAAAGAAATTATGTACAATATAAAGTAACAAATTTTATAAAATAAAGCATGCATAATGAACTCATAAATGAGCAATAAAATGCTAGACATAAGTTTCACAGCCAACAACTTAGTAATAATAGAAATTTCTAAAATCCAACACTACTTCTCTTCCTCATCAGAATCAACCACTTGGGCCTTCTTCTGCCTCTTGAAGTTATTCCCTTCGGTAGCTTCAGAACTTGCAGAGCTATCCTCTAAGTTTGCTTCAACCAAATCAGAGCTAATTTCCTGGCCGTTGGCAGGAAATGAAGTTTGGGATGCAAGTGACTCCTCACTGATTTGCTGCAAAAGTTATTAGAATAATAAGAGAAAGGAATGAATGAATCCTATCTCTAAATGAAAATGACACTGAACCTGTAGTCATTACCGCAAGAGGATCATGTTCTATGCAAGCCACAGTATACTCGACTTGAGGGTTGATGAAGTTGAATTGGGTTAGCTTAACATGCACTTTCAATTTCATGCTAACAACTTGCTCAATTTGCCGGGGAATTGGTTCCTTCTTCCTCTGATTTCCTTGGAATAAAACATCAGCCATAACACCAAAGAAACGCAGTCCTTCACGCTCTAAAATTGCAAAGTCAGCATCACCAAAATCATCCTGCAGTTGAAGCTTCACTCTATACCTATATTACAAATCAAATACAAATTATGCGTGAGTAAAGTCTAAATCTGAAGCTACGATTCAAGTTCAATCTTCCTATCAAATTGTCATAACTAAGACAAACAAAATTATGTTGTTCCTTTGCTATTAGTTTGTTCTATCAATTGTAGGAGTTGTCCGAAGGTGATTGTTGTTGTTTTTTTTAATAAAGACACAAATACCAGTTAAACACAAATGACAGTAAGCTGCAGGTTATTTCATTTCACAAACCACATAATAATTTGATTGTGTTAAAAACAACTGGAAACTCCAAGTATAAGCAACACATTGCAAGTTAAATCTATTTTTGTTTTGATTAAATCACATATATTACAATCTATATGAACTGTAATTTGCTTACAAAGCCCCTATAAATGAAAAGCAAACTACTGAACTCTCATTCTTCATAATCGGAACCACCTTATACCAAATATGATCCTAACAATACTACTGAAGGTCAAAAGCAAGCACATTGCAACATTGTGACAGTAGCTACAAACTTACTTGGCAGCTGCACTTTTAGGGGTGGTGTTGCAGTGTCCGCAAAAATACTCATCCAAATCCTCTTCCACTTTGCGAGGGCAGCCAACACAGCCCATGTAAAACCAATTGGATCGTACTTGAATGACTTGACCTTCAATAGCAAACACTTGATCCTTAAATTTACAGAAACTTTAACTCAATAATAGCTATATTAGAAATTTCAAATGATTTTTATGACTTGTAAAGAAAAACTTACAATCTTCTCTTCCGTAGTTTTGAATTCATTCAGCTGAGCTATGGAAATTTCTTGAACCTCAGGAGCTGGTTCCTCAGCAAGTAGGACAAGTGCATTCAACCTGCCATCCCTAGAATGCAGGAAAAAATGCTATTAAATTCATATGCTAACTACTAAAATCAGCAGGTAACTAAACGCACAAACCCCAAATTAAACTTCTGCACTTCTGGTATATCCAGATTTGCCTTCAAAACTGTAGCCCCTTTGGACGATAGACAAAGCTCCCCTATTATAAGAGAAATGGTGGTATTAGTTTACTGTAATAGATTTGTGAAGGCACTAAATTGAAAAGGTTTGATTGAATATCACCTTTATATTCGTCAACAAAAGCAGAGGTAACAGTGAGAATCACTGGTCGATCTTCACTGTGGAAGACAATGTCATCTACTTGGTTGCCAATACTTCCCCATAAAGTCACCCTTACCATCTCACCTCTGTCGTCAAATAAACATTGAGCAAATTAAAAATATTCTGAAAGATGCATAAACAAAAGCAATGAAGCAAAAAAGCTGAATTCCAGGTACGTACTCAATCAATTTGAGTGTGGTATCTTTTCAACGTTTTGTTGCAGAGATTTTGGAGGTGACTGCTGAATGTTGAACCAATTGGCCAACCACATCTGCAATATAGAAGAACATGATAAACTTAACATTTGAAAGTGGGCAGTTTGTACATGATCACCAACAAAAGTACCACCTACCCGATAAATTCTTCTTGTCATTCAACCTCTGCATCATGTCAGAGTGCTTGAGAAAATAAAACTTGTAGGACGGTATGCTTGGACAACTTTTCAAATGTTGGACCAAAGTTGCTGAATCAAACTCCAACATCAAACGATTGGGTACTGGCCTGAATGTGTTCTTCGTAAGAGCAACCTTGAAATGTCTAATCTCATAGACCTCTTGCTCTTTCAGAGTCGATTCAAACTTTGGAATCAGAAATGGAGGAATCATAGCCCAAATATCTGACCCCTAAAACAGAAATAAACATACATTAGGGATTGATTGTTATAGTAGAGTTAGCTATGAAACTGGTTTGAAGAAATTGTACCTCTGAATCGATGAGGACCAAGTCCATATGCAAAAGCTTTCCAGTGTTGCAGTTTGTAGCTATCCACTTCCGAGAGACCCGAGTTTGAATGATCCATTTTCGGGAATTGGTGGAGAGATCCTTCAGCAGCTGCGGTGCCATCTTGTTCTCTCAATTGCTTATGGGAAAAAGAGGAAGAGAATGGTTGTAAGGGAAAGGTTCTTTTTGCTTGAAGAACTTGTCCTTTTATAGGCTCCTCCACCAGTGAAACCATCCTACCCACGTTTGTAACCACCCAAATCTACAAAAAGGCAGTTGTAAACTGCCGAAAGAGATCGGTGATAACCGTCTCCAGCCACTTCCTTGAGGGCCTTTCATTTTGCCGATAACAATGGTGATAACTGCATACCACTTCTATGAAACCCAAGTGAATCCCCTGCAAATCGAACAAATAATTTCAAATCTTGTTCTGCCCCGCTAAACCACCACTCGATAAAACAAACACTCCATAAATTCTAAAATCAGAGAACCAAATGTCAGGCTAGGGACAGCTTATATACCTGACTTGGTCTTCTGGTAGAGAGTCTCCTCGAAGACGATCAGGTCGTTGAGGTACTGGAGCACACCAGGGGCGGTGAAGAGGAGCTCACGGAGACGACGACAGTTCTCCTCATTATTCTCATCTGTTCAATACGAACCCAAACAATCCAATCAAGTATTCGTGATTGACCTATACATCAACTATAACAATTTCAGATGCGTAACTAACCAAATCCCCTGAAATTTTAACAAATGAAAAGCGAAAATCAGCAACACATCGAAGAAAGAAGACTCCCCATTAATTAACCCTTCCAAAAGGTACCCAAATACTGCTTTGCTATCAACGACGTGATGGCGGCCATCGATATTACTCGTGACGGCAAGTGCAATGGGTAGCACTCTCATGCCTAGCTATGCTCTAAGCATTTGTTTTCTTTTACACATTATCATTTGCAGTTATTTATTAAATCAACTTTGTTTCTAGCTTTCAATTCATAATTATTCACTACTTCCTACCAATTTATGGGAATGCTAAATATATTTTTCATGTCTAATCTATTGACCATAAATGTTGCTTATCACTTAAATCTAATGGTATCCATGTTAGGTTTGATGTCACCAACATATTCTCCCAATTTCTCCAAAAAGCATTATATCTTGCGATTGATATCATAGTTTTGTTAGGTAAAGTTCAACAAACTCAATCAACATTCGAACTCTTTGAAGTAGCTATCTACATGCGAATATGAAGTACTGAGTATCTAAAAATCTACTTGAGTTAGTACAATCTTTTGCGCTTTCGATTCAAAATTCAATACATGATTATCTTTTATGATTTAGTCATACTAATTGTGCAGTAGGGGGGCATCTTATCAAAATCGTATAGAAAGACTCTTTGATTGATCGCTTTCATGATGTAATCAATTTTACCAAAATAGAAGTTATCAAATTTATAAGATGCTCTCAAAGTTTGCTATAATTATTGAGGTTCAGTAGCACGTTAGGCGTAATGCGGTCATTGGGCATTTGTCTATCTCCTAACTCGCCTAGACATGCTTAGACTGTAACACCCTGGTATTTTGATTTTAGGTTCGACCTTAATTTGAAATCGGTTGGATTGACAGTTTCTTACTAAGAGTTACAATCGCGGATTAAGAATAATAATATAATAATAATAATATTTATTATATTATTAGAAAAAATATATTCTTGGGTCGGGGCCGAGCGGCCCCAAACCCTTCCCCACTTTAACTCTCCCCAGCAACAAATACCCCCCCCCCCCCAAAATTAAACCCGCCCCCAGCCTAAACAAAAAAAACCCCATCCCCCTTTTATTAAACATCGCCGCGGGCAGAGTGGAGAGGAAGAAAGAAGAAAGTGCCGCCGGAATAATTTATGTGTTCCATATTATCAAACTTGATTTAATATAGAAAATTGAATATGTGGTAATTGTCTTGTGATAACAAAACTACTAAATAACTAACCATGGTACTTGTGGACAATAGCAGAGGTCAAAATAAGGACAGCTTCAGTTTCAGGTTCATCCTCAAGAAACAGCTCTAGTTGGTCAACTATTGAGTCCCACACAATGACTTTCACAACTTCACCACTACTCAACAGGAAACACAAACCAAATGAGTACATGTCAATGACAGCATAGGCAATGCTAAAATTTAAACTTTCAGTCTATTGATACTCACTCAGTCAACCGAATATGAAGGTCTTTCTTCTTGAAAGAAACATAGTCACTACCAAGCTGTTCTGCAGGCTGACTTTGCACCAATTGACCCACCAAATCTGAATCACGAATATATTTAGGTTACAAAGGTAATGCAAGACAAAACAACAAAATCTAAGATCAACAGACCAATATAAAATGGCAGACCTGATAAGTAGTTTTGATTCCGGAATGCAGCTTCGAACTGATCAGTCTTAAGAAATCTGAAACTAAATTTGGGGATTACTTCAGAATCCACCATTTCTTCACAAACAGAATCGGGCAAAAGCACAATGCGAAAATCTGGTGCCGTGACACGGAAGGCAGTGGTGTTTCTTTGAACCAAGAAGTTAGCAAAGCTGTATGCTGCGCCTTCCCTCATAATTCCAGCAAACCTTGGAAATGAAATCCTATGAATAACAGCTTCCATTTCATAATCCTGGAAACAGAAACAAAAAACTACATTACAATCCATCAAAAAATTCAGAAATAACCAAAAGCTAAGATTGAGACACTTACCGCAGCATCAACAATCATCATCTTGCGAAGAACACTTTCTCCATAGCCATTTTGCTTGACATCCCACATCCGCAGTACTCGAACACACACTTTACAGTCAACATCTTCAACCCGTAAGTCAGCCAATGGACGGAAAGCCATGATATTGTTTCTCAAAATAGATACAAAAAAAATGAGATGCTTCTGATTTCCGAAGAAGAGTTATGTGATGTGGGATAAAAAATTATAACTTGATGGTCTATTTATACTCCCAGGAAAGAGAGTTAATGCCACCAAAATAGGAGGGATTGAAGATAACTGCCACCGCATCTGCTGTATGCAAGTAGTGGGGGTGAGGCCTTGATCCCAGGAAGTGCAGCAAAATGGAATAATTGTTTTTTAATTCACTTTTTCTAATTTCCATATTCCCGCCATAATTATTATTTCTGTATACTAAAGAATATTTAGCCCAACCACATTCATTACTTCTAATTCCATTTAATTAAAGTAACTCTGAAAAACTACTTAGTCCAAAGAGCATCAATTTTTTTGGTCCATGAGATATATGGAACCTGCAATAGTGTTAAAAGGAGTCCAAGCAGTAAGCTCAACCAAGCATACAAAGACTGGTTTTTTTAATTTCAAAATCCATATTCATTTCACAATGACATCCAAAACTGTGTGTTTATGAATAAATCATTTTTAGTAACATGAAACCCTTCCACCAGGAGGTACAAAAAACGTACCACTCTAATCTTGAAAAGAAACATACAGACTAAGAGCACACACTGATGAAGACATACCCTCTAAATCAAGTGCTATAAAAAAGTTTAATAAATATAAACCATGAAGTTCTACATCCTTAACCATTCTCAACCTGTCAAATTGCCTAATCTGTCAACTAATCTGAGCTGGAAATTTCAATGCAAAATCTGTATACCATGTATAAACCCCATGTCCCCAAACACTCTGTCTCTCTCTCCAATCTCGATGCCTATCCAAGCATGACCTTCGATAGCTATCATCTTTCTTCTCCAGATCACGTATGAGTTCAACCTGAGCCCCACATCGAAATAAATTAACAAATGATTCGCATGTAAAACCATACCAAGTTGGATCAGATGTCATCTTGGGGTATACAATATATGTAATGTAGCAGAAATGTATTACCTGCTTCTGGAACGAATCAAATTCATTAGAGCTCAGAGAGCCATCGATATTGGAATAGAGGAGTTGCATCAACTCCTCTGCATCCTCCCCAGGGGCACCAAGTTCTTCCATCACTTCCATCAGTTCTTCGATGCTAATTCGCCCATCTCCGTTCTTGTCCAGCAGCCCAAACACTCTGTCTCTCTCTCCAATCTCGATGCCTATCCAAGCACGATTTTAGCACAAAATGTCCACAAATTGAATAATTACAAAAGAACTCAGTTTTACTTATGGCCTATCCAAGCATTCCCCGACCACAGTTGACAATGTATAACATCACACAATCTGCTAACCTAACCCATAAAATCCATTAACGACTCCACAACAGCTAGGTTTTGACACTTCTGACATTCCCAGCTGTTCCAGATTCAAGTTAGCTTGCAAGTTCAGCTTTCACCAAAAGGATTGAACACTGCAAAGAAGAGTTCAAGTCTATATCAAAGAAGTTCCCATGTTAAATCCATTCAAATGACAAATTATAAATTGCGGATCAAAGTATAAAAGTAACATAATGATTTGACAACATCTGATACTACTTGCACATGAAAAATGACCACATAGTGGCATATGAAGACATTATGTAACCAAAACAACTGTAATTAAATGACTACCAAAATAAGCGGATACTGTCAACACAAAGAAAAAGGCAACCTGCTGGTCTCTATTAAGCGGATACTTCCATAACTACTAAGCTATCAATAACAGACAATAGAAGCACAGTGGTCGAGCAAAATGAAGCAACAAATAAAACATCCCATTGAACACATCTTCAACTAGATAATAGTTCTTGTCCATGTACCAATGAATAAATATAGAAGTCATAAGATAAGACACAGTAGATGGAGAATGTTGACCAAAGAAGAAGCTACCTACATTCAATCAAATATTTCACGATAAACGATATTCTGCATACTGTTCAGCTCAGCACCATTCTGATCGCAGCTCAAAACATTCATTCCGTGCTTTGTAGTAACACGGGATAATGCAACATATAATTGACCATGAGAAAAAACTTGCTTCTGGAGACACAAACCCACATGTTGCAATGTTTGACCCTGGCTTTTATTTATCGTCATTGCAAAGCACAATGCAATGGGATACTGTCTGCGTTCCAATGTAAAATTCAAACTCTTGTAATGATGTGTAAGGGTCATTTTAGGCAAAAACACCCCATCACCAGCATGAGAACCGGAAATAA